GTTATCTCCATGAGCTGACCGTGCATGTACATATTTTTGTTGAGAAATCAACCACAAATAATTAAACACTGGAATGAAAAACGCGGAGTTACCAAAATAGATTTCAAAAGGGTGAGTTTTCAAATTGCACGTCTTTTCTTCTTCAAGGACCTAACTGTGAAATGCTTTTGATAAAAATCCTTGCCGTGTTATCAAGAAACATGCAACATTTGCTAATTCTTGATATCATACTGCGTACATGCACTTTAATGAATTCGAGAAAACATCTCAGTTATTGTAAAGATAGCCTCTTCCAGGTGCTATTTAAAAGACTAACCAATTTACCTTCGGTCACGATGATGTCCACTGTACACACTTCTGACCCCTGTAATAAAGCCATTGTGGGGACACTTGTAATTTACCAGTTGGTCAAAGTCGTTCACGTAATGACCGCTCCATGCGCAGTTGCCATGGCGATAACGAACGGGACCATATCCACACTGAAAATAGTGGATACGATCTTCTTTGCAATTTCGGTGCTCGCTTTGCCAAAACGTTACAGAGTAGCCTTTCAAGAAAGAGCGAAAAATTTATCTTAATGTTTGATGTAGCAAAATATGGGTGATTAATATATATCTATGATTAGTTGGCTGTAACATGTTGAGATCGAATGAAAACAGCGGTGTTTGTCAACGTTTAACGTGGCAGCATTCACCAAATAATCGGGTCCAATTTATCTTCTATCATCTGTTTTTGTTCTTTCTTAGTTCTGCCTGATCACTTGACCTCCTGGTTGCGCTTATAAGTTTAATGTTATATCTCCATCTTTTTGACGTCTTTGATGAAGGCAGAGTATGCTTTACTGGATGCTACGATTTCTTGAAGAGAATTACACATAAATTAATATGTTTTGATGTTCAATCGTGCAGTAGTTCTGTCATTACGTGCTTTTGCGAGATTTGGTGCGTGAGTTAGTGCGAGAGCGCGTGGGTGCGTGATTGTATGAGCGTGCGAGTGTGGGTGCGCGAGTGCGCGAGTGCGTGCGGGGGAACGTGAGTTCGTGTGTGGGTGATAAATTGATATGTCTTGATGTTCAATCAGTAGTTCTGTCATTGCGTGCGTCTGCGAGTGTTGATGCGTGAGTGAGTGCAAGTGCGCGTGGATTCGTGAGCTTATAAGTGTGCGCGTGGGAACGTGAGTGCGTGTGTGGGTGGGTAAGTGAGTGGGTTGGGTGCAAAAAGACACATTGCAAAATACCTAACTATAACAGTACGAAAGCAAAAAAATTGATCAAAACATTACTTACTGCTGGGGCAGTCGGTAGAGAAGTACTGACGCCAGGAGTTGACCCATGCTACTCCACTTGGCCGTGACGAGCTACAACGCCTACGGCGGCCTCTTGTCCAAAACGGTTTTGCCTCAGAAAAAGGAACCAACAGCATTTCAAATACCATTAACAGCAGCAACCACTTAACCAGCATCTTTTTTGCCATGGCAATCTAAAGAAGAGAAAGCACATTCTGTGAATTCATCGAAACGAGAAGCGAGTTCCGGTGGAATTTTTTTCTTCTCGCGCAGTTTCTTGAAGCGCGACTTTGTAGGTGCCGTAAATAAAAGCAAAACTGTTCTCATATTTAACGTTTCTTATTTTTCTCCAAGCATAGTGATGAGGATCTTTTACCCCCTATCACCGAACGCGTTTTTTCATAATCACCGCAAGACAGATTTACAGTTGCGAATACCTTCAAATAAAAACGAGAGTGAACTGAGTTTTTGATTTGCTAAAGACTTAGTGGCCGTTTGAGAGCTAAACCTCGGAAATCGCCCTCAATAGACGTAAAACGGTAAAAAAAAAAAAAGTGGTCAAACGGAGCTTGGAAAAAGCTGAGAGAATCGAAGGCGGATTGTTGTGAATATCGTTTGACGATAGTCTACTCACCTTTGAGTTCCGTCACGGTTGTGCGCTAAGCAGACGGAGAAAAACAAAGCAGGATAAGTCGGATAATGATGACACTTAAACAACACCTGTTGATTTGTGATGTCAACTCCTACAAGTGATGGGTATTTATGGCCTAAAGCCATGATCCTATACGTGCGTGATGCCACTACTACAATCGACTATGTAAAGCTAACATGTTTAGAAGACGCGTGTATTAATAACCAAGCAAACATCACAGACAGAGGAAGTCCTAATCTCTCGCACACCGATGACACGATTTATTAACCGAGTTCTCTTCGACCCTAGTCCGGTATTTTACACTTTCATCATACAATTTGTTTTCGTGAAGGCGTAGGAGGAGTTTATGGCTGATGGAATTCGCTAAAAGAGCAAGAACTGATCAATCTGTTTCAATCAGAAGATATTAAAAGAATCGAATTTGTTTCACATTTCAAAACAGCAAAATTTCAGTTAAGTGGATAAAAAACAACTACGAAATATAAATATATATTCTGATCTTTCCACAGCCTTAGCTGTGAACCATGAACTAACTTTATATTACATCATGACGATGTTTTCTCAGCAAATATTACTTTTGTTTTAAATATTTTATAATAGAACAGCTATTCGCAAGCCAATTACGAGCTTGGACAAATACAGGTTTTTCTTGGCGCGTGTGTGTTTACATCTGTTTTTCTGCAAATGTTCCTGACCTTTCTTTATACACGCAAATGCGTATGGAAGCTAAAGAGTGACTGCACACATTGTAGCAATTTACGGCCTCGAAATTTGACGATAGAATCGTTTTTCCAGCTCAGTCTCACGGACATTTTTTGAAATAACTCTAGCAAAAACGGCTTACTTTGCAGGTTCCTGAGTTTGCCTCGTTTTAATTCAAAATGCTAGAATTAGATAATCGCAAATTGATCATTTGACTTGCTTACCTCTTCATTTAGTCACAGTCACTCTGTTACGCTGCATTACGATAGTTCCGCGTGAATCAACTTTTCATTTCTATTAGCTAGTTCAGAGATCATATCAAAGCTGAGAGCGCATCGCATCTCAGCCATTCTTTTTCCATTCGACGGAAAACTGTACTGTACGTTTGAAAATCGCTTTCTGAGGAAGTCTGAGAAATTCAAATTTTCAACTTCCTGACTTTTTAGTTATTGTCCATATTATTGGCTTTTCATGTCAAGACTTCCCTATATTAATGGGTGACTAGCTAGAACAATAAGTAACAAATACGTGATAACTTAAAGGCTTTGAGCATTCTAGCTCCAATTATGAATATCTGAAAGCACATTCTTGTGGGTGACAAAATTCGTGAACCAAGAAAGTTCGTAGCTGACAGCTGCTTCTTAAAGCAACTGTCAAAGGATAACAGTTACTGTGAATGGTGCAAATTCAGGAAGTTGAGAAAGGACTGTAGCTCGAATTTAAATTTGTTTCAGACTTTTGTAAATATCTATGAAGCTGTCTCTGTTTACTTTGTCGAGTAATGATGCCCTGAACTTCCTTTGAATCATCAGAACATGCTAACAGTAAAAAAACGGAAGCGTGAAGCCAATTGCAGTAAAACGAAATATTTACATTTAGACGGCGATTGTTGAGGTGAAGGTTTACCTGGTACGCCACGCGAACACTAGCCCACGAAGTTTTCTGTAATTTTGGAGGGATGATCAAATGTTTACTTCAGCGCGAACAAATTCAAAAGGACGCAATTGAAGCAAATAAGGAAGTATATGGGAAGGACTGTTTTTGAATCGTGTCGGATCTGTATTAAATTGCTAAGTTACGAGAATATGGTTTTTTTAAGAGCATTTTCCATACATTTTCTTTATACCCTTTTGATATGATAGACTGTAAGTGTAGACAGCTCTGTGAAGTCTGAATTACTCTTCTGGTCACACAGTAAAATTTACTGTTGACAATTGTGAACAGTTGGTGTTTGTATCAGAGCCTTATCGAGCCTTATCTCGGTTTCCGAGAACTCGCCTCGCCACTCTTTCGTTCGTAAAAATTTCGATGTGTTCATATGAGAAGCCGGGCTGGCCCGGTTACCGAGATCTCGGTTTTGGTGACCGAGATCTCGGTGACAGGCGTGGGATGAAAATTTTCCCATATGAACACTGACTCTAGGCCGGGTAACCTGGACGAAACATTTTGGACAAAATAGCTTCGCTTTCGCAACATGGCGGCCAAAATGGCAGAATTTTTGTCTTGTATGTATTTTTGTCTTGTATTGTGTGTTTTTCCCCTTTAGGAGTATGCGAATTAGCTTTATTAGTAAAGTTAAAAGAGTCCACAAAGCTACGACAGCCGCGAACGGTACAAGTTTATGTTCCACCATTTTGGTTGTGTTTCTTGGATTTCATCGCGGCCAACCGGACTGAAATTTCTCATATGAACAGACAACAAAATTCGTCCCGGTAACCGAGCCAGCCTCATATGAAGAGGCCCTTATTCCTTTGGTAACCAATAGGTTTTTCGCCTTAGCATAAAAATTGGTTCAACGATGAAAATAACGTTGCAGTTGATAATGACCGAAGAAATCGCAAATCAGGAGAGGCCACTGAATTTGTTGATCTTCCATTTCTCTGTTGTTGTGATAGAACATCCTTGCTTACTTCTGTAGACAGTTTATCTGAGGCCCCATCTACCCATCAACATTACGCCGGAGGAACTTTGAAAACGGAGCTTTCACTCTGAAAACACATCAAATGTTTTCCGTCCACTCTACGCGGAGGAGTCTGAAATTAAAACGCATCAATCACCGGTCATTTTGAGTTTGTGTTCGAGGAAATCGTTTTCGAAAAGTTCCGTTTTCAAAATGTTTTTCCTCCACACAAAAACCTAAAGCCAGCGTTTTGAAATTCTTCCGATTTGAAGAGCGTTTTCGGAAAGCTTCGTTTTCGTGACGGATTAGTATGGACAGTAAGCCTATTCAAACCGTAAACCTTGTAAAGCAGCGTTTTCAAATTCCTTCGGCGTAGTGTGGAACAGGGGCTTCAGTTATAAGTCTGTTGGTTTTAGGCGGAAAACTGTTTTGTTTCATTCGCCATCTCAATTTTCTCTAGGTATAGTTTCGCGTCGATATAATGTTTGTCCAAAATAATTTTCAGTATCGTGAGAGAGTATGACGCGAATTCTCGAACACCATACCCAACTAAACTAACAGTGACGGAAATACATTTAACGCAATTTAACAACATTTTCAGGCTAAAAAATAATGACCATACCTGAGTTCAGGTCTGAGCAGTAAAGTAGACAACGTAAATAATCAGATATCTGAAATTTTTGCATCTAATAGTAATCTGTAAAGTTAAAATATCTGTGAACAAATTTGAGGACTTGTCCTGTGCCGAAAGATGGATAAAAATTCAATGGTATTGTTTGCCTTTCTGGCGCATCGCTGATCTTCAAGTTGTTTTCCAGATGCATGTAATCATCTTTATTAGAGAAATGGAATTTAAATAGAAATTTTGTTTTATTGGACGGTGTATTTTCCCCACAAAATCATTGTCTTCCGTGCAATTTTTGCATGTCGACCAAGAAAACTGAGTTAGAAAAACAGCATTTTACCCCTGTTTGCATTCGCCTGCGCCTCCGCTCTTACAGGGCAGCGGAATTACAAATGGCGGCCGTGCCGACGAGCTCTCTACCAAAGTTAACAAATCTATGGACGAATCCCCTTCGATGCCTCCATCTTTCGACAATTCTTTCGCAGATAAGGATTCTTAAGCGTCCTATTTGCACTGCAAGTGACTACAATCCGTTTTTTAAACAAGAGACTTTACCGCGCTTTAGTGAATTGCGAACCGCGCATGTGGTTCCCGCTATCGAAAAGTTGACTCAAGACTTCGAGAATGACTTTACAGAGTTCGAAGCAAAAGTAGCGGGTTAGTGCCGATTGAGACTGTCTGATAATCTTATTATACAGTTTCTTTCGCACTCTCCTTCATACACGATCAGCAGTCATTCTTACACAGGTAGAACGAAAGNCTCGGGTAGCCAATCACAGCGCAGGATTTGATTCATCTTGCCCGCTCGCGGAGCTAGCCATATAATAATAAGGATTAATCTGGAGATTAAATTCGGCAACAGATGGAGGTTTCAGTGGAACGGAAATATCTTATAACTTTGGCTCTTATTTTTAGTACCATTTTGCCATTTCGCCATTTCGCCATTTCGTCATTTCGTCAATTCGCTATTTCGTCATTTCGCCATTTCGTGTTTTGAACACGTCTCTGTGCCGAAAGATGGATAAAAATTAAATCGGATTGCTTGCCTTTCTGGCGTATCACTGATCTTCAAGTCGTTTTCCAGATGCATGTAATCATCTGTATTACAGAAATAAAATTTAAATAGAAATTTTGATTTATTGGACGGTATATTTTCCCCACAAAATCATTGTCTTCCGTGTAATGTTTTCATGTCGACCAAGAAAAGTAAGAAAAACAGCATTTTACCACTGGTTGCATTCGCCTGCGCCTCCGCTCTTATAGGGCAGCGGAATTACAAAATGGCGGCCGTGCTGACGAGCTCTTTACCAAAGTTAACAAATCTATGGACGAATCCCTTTCGATGCCTCCATCTTTCGACAATTCTTTCGCAGATAAGGATTCTTAAGCGTCCTATTTGCACTACAAGTGACTACAATCCGTTTTTTAAACAAGAGACTTTACCACGCTTTAGTGAATTGCGAACCGCGCATGTGGTTGCCGCCATCGAAAAGTTGACCCAAGACTTCGAGAATGACTTTACAGAGTTCGAAGCAAAATTAGCAGGTTAGTGCCGATTTAGACTGTCTTATAATCTTATTATACAGTTTCTTTCGCATTCTCCTTCATACGCGATCAGCAGTCATTCTTACACAGGTAGAACGAAAGTTCCTCATAACAACTGATAAGCGTATCAAAGCACGGCGTCGACAAAACCAGGATCGGATCGGACCGGACCGGATCACGGACCGGATCACGGATCGGATCACGGATCGGATTACGNAATTATTCATGTACATGTAACGTATGATCGCTTTGTTTTCTTTTAACCTGTGCTTTCTATTTTTCAGATTATAATGTCAAGGAACTAGTAATTGACCGACCTTGGTCAACAATAATTGAACCACTAGAAAAGATAGCAAGTCCTCTCAGTTATGCCTGGGGTGTGACATCTCATTTAAATGGAGTTCGTAACAGTCAGGAATTGAGAATTGCTTACGAAAAGGTAACTTGAGGTTTGAATGTTTCTCTACTGTAAAACACTTCCTTTTTTGTAAGGTTACTATGACAAATTGATAACTCAGTAATAATTTCATACCCTACTGTTGGACTGGTGATAATGGTACAACTGTACATGTAAACCAGGCCCTGGTTGTTCAAAGGCTGGATAACGCTATCCACCTGATAAATCGCCATTCAGTGGATAAGTGTTAACAAAACAAACCACACTATCCACTGGATAATAATTTATCCAGCGGGTAGTGTTATCCACCCTTTCGAACAACCCAGGCCAGTCCTCTGAATTTCTTGCCTGCGAGCAGCACATGAGATTTTCTTTGTGCCTCTTCTGCAGACACCTCCCTCACAGACTCACTATTTGCCGCTTGTATGTGTGACTAAAAGGTGAACCTGCTCCCAGGCTACTGAATTTCAAGACTTGGCCATGCATTTTAAATGAATCAGGTCTATTCTTGCAGTAATACATGTGAAAGGCAGGCCTCTGTGTTTTGTTTTAATAAGTACAGTATATGTAAGCTGCAATATTATGCCGTACAATGAAAAAGCTGGAAATGTCCCCTGTTAGGCTCACTATTGAATAATCCATGTATCCCACTTTGGTGATAGCTTAACTTTGAGTGTTTTCATTTATCTTCCAATTACAGTTAATCTTTCTGAAAACTGTTTTCTTATATTTACTTAAGGCCTGTTGTCGTGATGTTCTTCTTTTTATCATCAGGTTCAACCCTTAGTAGTTCAAGTGTCTATGAAAGCATCACAGAGTGTCCCTTTGTATACTGCTCTTGGGGTAAGAAAGAATGTTGTACAATATCCACTAATTACAGTTTATGTACAAGGACTTACACATATTGGCAAATGGTCGTTGAAAAACCTCGAGTCTCACAAACGTGTTGTTGAATTTCATGGGATCACAGTCTCATTTTTTCACCAGCTATGTGCAAATCAAAAGAGTGATATTTTTTCACAAAGCTGTCTCAGAGTCTCAATTTTTTGTGAGACCAAGAAAATCTTAAAGTACAATTTCTTTGTTTGTGTTTATAAAGTTGTCTAAACATCTCATTCTCACATTGAAAACACTAACAAAGTCTCATGTTGCAATGAATAAAAAAAAAAAAAACAGTCAACTCCTAAATCCTACTACATGTAATTTGCAAATGGAATACGACAACTTATCGGGCAATGAAGATGATCAAATTACCAGAAGTTATCCCATTAGGAAGACAGCACTTGGCAAATGTACGATGAAATTCTGTGAACCCCTGATAACTTTAATAAAAGGTAAAGGTAAAAAGGTAAAGGTAATTTATTTTACGTCAAGAACACAGGGAGTGGTTGCCCAAGTCTCCCGAGCCAGGGGCTCATGATAAAAGTGTTTGACATACATGTTAAAAAAAAGATTTAAAAACTATATATTAAAAAATAC